TTAGAACACTAAGGATCTTAATCGGGCTGTCTACACACCCACACTTCGCTCATGAGTTGATGCCAGGTTTTTGGTTTGACCACCCCAAACTCTGATAAAGGTGTTCAGGAAAACTTAACCAAGCAAATCAAATCCTTTCATTTTTTAAAATGTTAGACTGTGTAAGAACAACACAGTTGCTTGATTCCACATCGTATTTTGGTACAAGTATAGAATTTTCAGCATATGATATCGGTAGCCCAAATTTTGCAGGCCGACTATTGATATCAGGTGTGCGTCGGCAGAGGATCGAACTCCACACCATGTGCATGACCGGTAAGAGTTCTAACCCTTGTGCCACCGACGCACATGTTTATGATTAAAACACTTATTTCACAGATATGAAGTTAAAGCAGAACTAGATTCTTCTAAAACGTATCCAAAGGGACAATCGAAATCAGTTAACAGCGGAACGATTCTGTCTTTTCATCGTCGAAATCATCCTAAACTCATTGTTAAACTTCGTATAATTACCAAATGAAATAAGTCCCGACACAAACAAAATGAAGTATATGAGAAAAGTAGGACAAAAAATTTGGTAGTGGTGTGATGTCGGCAATTGGTTTAATTGCTAAGCTCTCATTGCCTTTCAAGGCAAAATCTTCTAGACGGGGAATAAAAGCATCACAATTAAACCACTTAGTTTAGAAAGTAGAACAACATCAAGCAAACCCTCTTGATCTTCATCCTTTCAAAGATATATCTACAGAATAATGCACAAATCCTAACCACGTTAGACACTTAGTGTTCAAATGACTTCCCAACCGCCCACATCATGGAAGTTTCTTGAAATACCTGGGACATAAGGAGCAATAGCGTTCTGTGACCGCAGTGCCCAGGAAAACACTGTTTGAGGCAGGTTTCTTGGGACTATGTACGTATTAACATCCTACACTCCCGGCTACGAACCTCTGCAAAGTAAGTCAGTAAAGTGGTGCAGTTTTCGAAAAGCAACCTTTCTTCAGAGCGCAGAAGTAGCACAAGTGGCATGTTGGTCATTTGAAAGAATCGCCTAAATGCTGATACATCACTACTAGCCAGCATTACCCCTTCAGTCACATACACCAATCGACTTCTCTAGTATGGTAGGACCTGTAGGAACACAGTCAGTATACTCCAGATGGCTAATTTCGATATGCAACCCGAACACCACACCAATAAAGTTGCTGATATCGGCGGGAAAGTGTTAAATAGCAGTCAAAAACACTGAATCACCTAGAACCTCCCGATGACATTAACAGAACAGTCTACATCTACATGGTTAAATCAAACCAATAGTCAGAGACGCTATTAAGGTTCAACAAGATCTAAAACTATGTTAACATGATTGTGTTTAATAGTGCTTAGTTGTAGGACGCACAGAACAGGTAATAATCTAATTCCAATATATCATTTATCACATAAGAAGTTAATCGTCCTTGCGAAAATACGACCAACATACATGTCCACTAATAGTTAAATGAGATATTTATGCTATTTCCTTGCAGGCCGAGAGAATGGATGTGTTCTAATGATTGCCCAAAAACAGATCCGTAAGTCGATACCTGATATGATCTGCTTACTGGAAAATGCCATTCACACCATATTCAGCAAAGGCGAATCGTAAATACAGGTTCATCATATGTTAAATTGGACGGCGAACGAGGCATATTCCATCTCAACTTCGTGAAACACTTATTGCTCAACAGATTGACGGATGTTTTCGATGCACATCGAACGAAGTAACAATTATACGAAGTAACCTAACCTGGAAAATTTCAAAAAGCATGAGTCTCTTATTTATTCAACCTGATGCATCTTTGATTGCTATGGACGACAGAAATGATGGTTGCGATTAAATTTAGACTCAATTATAACGATTGTGCTAAAAAGAAATTCGTAACAGAGTTTAAAAAGTTCCTTCAGATAATGAATAGCGAAAGTTTGGTCATGTCACCGTGATAATGATCTCCTAGATAATGGAGAGAAAAGAAGCTTTCATTCGACTGATACTCAGAGGACAAAATTGACGAAAGCCTGTGCATTAACACTGATCTCAAGCTGGATGGTATCAGCACAAAAAAGTTCTTACCTACGTTCTACCAACTGAAATGGTTAATATATTTGTGACAATGTCAGTATATTTGGTTACTACTTCGCAATGTTATGCAAAACCTAATTTAATACGACTCTACTTTTTTCGGAAAATGACTTACAGGTTCAACGGAAAATGGAAATGTCTCTTAGGTCTCACATTAGGTTCGACTAGTGACTGTGTGAGAAGCACCCAACTTATTGCCCAATAAATATCCAGAATGAGATGGAGATGGTTTGGACATACACATGAGAGAGGCCCTTGAGTGACACCATACACCAAGATGTCGATTGGAAGTGACAGGTTGGCAATCCAATGATGAAATACAGATCGTGTGAGGAAGTGAATACTTGTAGGAAACGGTGGAGCCAATTGATAGTGATTACATAGGAACAAATGATGTAGTGATATGTTGTTGAAGCCATATGTCCCGAACTGACAAAGATGTTGTGTAGCAAACACAACGGAAACTTCGAGATCCCTTTTATAACCGACCACACTTTCCCAAATAACAGTATTTGCAGACGAACTTCTATGAGCTTATTTGCCTGTCTATTCATCCTGATCACTAACAGCAACTATCATAGGAGTGTCTTCATGAGACACCTACTAGTCTGTTGATAAGACCATGGAATGCATGGAAGCTACAGAGTGAATCTTTAATCTACAAATAGCACTGATAAATGTTAGAAGACTAACATACAACCTAAAGCGTCGAATCGTTAGTTGTTTACAACACTACGATCTTTACGTGCCAATTCATTCTAATGTCTCCCTGAAAGTATCTAGGTCAATAGGGCAACTAAATTCATACTTTTCCACTACATTATAGACACTATTGGTATACCAAACATTTATGTACCAATATATCAGTGCTTGATTTCTCGACTGACTGAATGTCGCCAAATAACTGATTAGTGATTGATCAGGACACATCTTATCGTCACATTCCATTCAACCTAATGCATTGGGTGTTTCATCGGGCAAACAGAACGAGAAACAGGCGGTAACTGGTTACTCAACTCATACTACACGGAATTTTAACCATCCTACTGTTTCAGGAACCATTTGCGATGACTAAAACTCGACAATCTTAAATCGAAAAGACATACTTGAAAGCTTGTGAGTGTATTATTAACAATAATGTCAATTCATAACAAGTGAGAAATCGACAAAAGCAACACAACAGCGAGACATGCATAGAAGTAAGCGATTACAAAGTAGGAGTCATGTACATTAAGAATTAATAAAAGTCGTTACAATGGTCTATCTGTGCACTACAAATATGGATTACACAGATATCTAATAATGTTCGGCGAAGACGTGCAGTTACTTGAGGTAAGGCAGAGAGAGAAAGATCACCTAAAAATGTCTCCACTTTCTGATCTATCTTCGGCAAGAGTCTGGATAACGTCTACTAGAACCTACATGATTCCATCCCGCTCCTAGTCACGTCCACATTACAAACTGTAGTTCGACAAAATGACGTCTGATCACCTGACATATACTGTCTGTAACCATGACGCTGTCCTTCGAGATCAGCAGTAATCTGTAAAAGCTAATCCTCTCTGGCTGACTGTTATAAATGCTCAAAATATATTCCAGGTTGTAGGCAGTTCCGGGAGTACAGGTAGTTTAACCAATTAGACTCGCAACTTCACACCCAAAGCTCAGCAACCGATCCTAAGCTAACACTGGAGAGGTCGCCAACTAGATCTTGCTGTCAAAATGGTGAACCCGCAAGGTTCCAACCTGGGAATTTCTGCTCTACGCATGTAAGCAAGTTTACGGGAGAGGATGATTTCCAGAGACAATCGCTATGCTGTAGTATATACGTAATATATGAAACGCACCATGTTTCATGCAGGCAGAACAGTCTTCATCAGGAAGCCTAGGCTTTACAACCTGACTTGAACAGAGCATATAATGTTGCGTGACGCTCCAACTATAAACAAGCTGTAGTTTGTGTCAAACCAATTAGAGGAGAAATAAAGTTTTGTCGAGATACAAGAGCTCAACGTATATCCAAGTTTAATCGGGGCATGAGCATACCCAGTGGAAAGGAATTACCAGTGGAATAATTATCACTTTACTGGTATGAAGTGTTTGCAACACAGTGAACTGTAGGACCAGTGATGAACTAGTCGACTGCAGCAGGACCCACTCATACGATGGAGTAAGGCGGGTGTAACTGTTGTTTCGTGAGTGAACCTCAAATAGGCGGAGTCTAACCATTAAAGGATTGAACATAACGTTCAACAGCATATAAATCGAAATCATAACGGACTGTGACCAGCTACTTTTGCAGTTATCCCACTTATCAACTTACACTCAAACCAAGAACGCACTAAGTCGTGCTTTTTTCCTACCTTCATCTGGTAATGTCTTCAAATCGCCTTAATGTTATTGCATTAGTGATGCCATTAAAAAGCACTACACAGTCAACCTATACTTTTTCATCTGGTAGACGAATATGATGTCAGCACTAGTGATAGTAAACACAGTGATGATTACTTTGCTGGTAGTCCCATCAAACCATCATTGAAGATGCAATTCACCACATCAAGCTGAGGAAGTGAAGTATAGTAAATGCTACTGATTCTAGACAGATTTCCTACTGTCATTCATGATGGGACTTCAAGATTCTCCATTCACACCACTTGAAACCCAAATAGGACATTACATCAGTCTCGATCTTAGATTCCTTCTCGATTTCCCTACATTCAAGGGTATGTGTGATCGTCTCCAGTGGACAATTATCAGAAACCGAATTGCAACCTCGTGGAAAACCAAAGTGTTATTGCATATTGACTTCTGGCAGTCGTGCCTACTAAGCAATTCTTAACACGTCAGACATTGAAAAGTTTTCTGGTGAATTATGACTACTGTATCTCACTCATACATACATACACCAGGATTTTCTCCTTGTGTAAAATACAATACCTCAGTCTACCGCCGCTTATGCAGGTCATACACCAACCGAACTGCCCTCTTCTGGGCATCTGTTCGCGTTGACCAAAAATACTAAGCATCCCTAAAACCGCTTTTTCCATTAAGGTGGACATGCTAATAAGGTTATTGAACAATTCAGGTACGTCTCAAAGTACCACCGCACCTACTGGCATAAATCTGAGCATGGACAGCTGTTGAAGCCTTTTGTCGACAAATGCACGTTTCTCAGTTGCTTTACGGCCCTGAAGCGAGGTGTTAGCAACAATGCATATATTCACAATCAATGTCATCGAAACCTACACCCAATATTCTCAGTCCAACGTCTGCATTCGTCCCTCACGCAGCCACCCTTACGACCCACTTTCGAAGGAGCAGAGATTTTACGAGCAGTTCCCAGTAAGTTTCACCTAAGCCCCAACCTACCCATGCAGGCGAGATGAACTGAACCCTAACTGGACATATAGAGGAAATCGCAAACTGGGACCACAATACAATTAGACGTGGACAGAAAACGACTGACCGTAAAGATGATGATGGACTAGTTGGAGTAAATCAATGGTGACAATACTAGTCACTATGCCAAGCATAGAACAGAAATTTGAAAAGTAGTTAAACCTTTCACCTGAACAGGTTATGATACGACAAGTGGTTTGGGAACGTGGAACATGTGCATACTTCAGTCAGCATATACAGGATGTTCAGTAACACAAAGAACTTACGAAGCAGCAAGTAGGTCTTCTTGCAAAGTGGACTGTCACCACCCGCTTCATTAGCTCAACCGTCTGTAGACAAATAAGCGCAGCCCCTAGTGCATAAATGCAAACAGGAATTTAAGCCTACCCGTAAGCCTGAAAACATGTTTGTGAGCACTCCTTCCTTGGAACTTGGCATCTGATAAGTAGTGCTGCTCGTATGCTAGCCATTCACTTATCCTCGTCGACATTTCTGTAATATTGTATTTTCAAATCGGTATCGATTTTACTGATCGATAAACTAATCAGTGTCTAGCGCATAGTTGATAGATCAAATATACCACTTGATAGTGGGTCCTATTCGTGTAGATGAGCCTAAACCCTTCGCCAGCAAGAACTAAGATGAGTTAGTGTTGATGTCATATATTAACAAGTACAATTTTACTGAAATTAAATGCAGATAAGTGTTCAGGACCATCCACCATACCACTGATTGGCTTTGCCCCCAACATGCTCTCCAGAGCCCATACCGCCATACCCTCCATAGGTACCACCACGAGAAGGAGCACTGTAAGAGAAACAAAGATACCGTGAGTACCGATACAAACCACACAAGTCGAAACATAAATGACAGAGGTCTATAAGACCGCGATGTGCTGGACGTATGAAGTCATTTCTTTTATGAAACACTTCTCCCTCACACTTTAGTTCACACTGGTGTACACCTGATCTACCACCGGTATTATACCATGGAATTGAACTGCTGTCCGCAGTTCTCCAACACACAAGTGTTTTTGAGTCCAAGTCATGATGAGAAATATTCGAAATTCATGTTCTCGTTGCGCCGCAGTGATACCATCCTAATCTTTAAGGACTGATTGGGACAATTCAGGGGAGTGTGCACCGGAGACCTTAGGGCCCGAATGTTTCTAGTGTTCGCAAAGTCAGTCCAAGTATCTGTGAAAAGCCAAGTGACTTTAAAGTTTCCATTAGTTCACACGAGACCGACAATCAGCACGCTTGGGGACCTTAGACATTGATCGGTATGTTCCCATTAGGATAAAATCAATAGTGATTATAACTTCACTCACCTCTGACCACCCGGTATGTCGCTAGCTCCGCGCGCACCTCCACCGTATCCCGCGCCACCATAGCCACCAGAGGACATGTTTCCTGACGCACCATAACCTGGGCCACCGAATCCACCTGGAGCTCCCTGATCGATACCACCATAACCTCCATTATCAAATCCACCGGGTCCGTCGTACCCACCTGGACCACCATAGCCCCCATCTGCAGCACCACCGTATCCACCTGGTGGACCCATAGCGCCGCCACGACCGACTGGAGGAGGTACTGGGGCTGGACCTGAAGAACCCATCATGCCTCGCTGGCTTTGTGGAGGGGGTGCATTACCGCCCATCATTCCGCCACCTGAACGAGGGCCTCGACCCCGACCTCCATGAACTGGTCCACCACCCATTGGACTCATGCCACCACCTGGTCCCATTCCTCCTCCCATAGGGCCCATTCCACCACCCATAGGACCCATGTCACCACCACCCATCATGTATGGGCCTCCCATGTTGTAGCCCATCGGAGGCATTCCTCCTGGACCGCGAAGTGGCATCCCTTGAGCTAGCGCTGCAGCAGCTTCTCGGGACAGCCAGCCACCGTAGTTGAGAGCATCACTTTCGCTGAAATTGGCAGCATCGTAATCTTCCCGGCGACCACGAGGAGGGGCAGACTGAAAAACAGAAAGAAAAAAGGCAGCATCAGAAACACAAAAATCGTAACCGTGCAACCAAACCGAATGAGTACAGCTACTTAGTTCTCCCAGCACCGCACACTGGAAACAAGTCTTCTCACATTACTTTGGACAGTGTTTTCACCGTCTCCAAATAGATGTTAACCAGGCGTTAGACCTTATCTAACCGCCAACGTTTTCCTATCTATACATCTTAGTGGCAATAAATCACTCGAACTGAAAGTATCGACGGCTTTACTCTCTGTATGGTCAAGACTAATATGATATTAATTAGTACGTAGTCAGAAACAAGGTGGATTCTTGAGACACTTCATGTGTTAATCATGGTTCACATGCACAAAGATTATTTTCACTCACCTCAACTGCCTCTATCACAGCCTTCAGGCACTGAACGACATTATCTGGGTCAGCAACCATCTGTACTACCCGATCAGTTGATAAGGGAGCCAACATCTGGTAGACCTTGATAACGCGCATTTTGAATTTCTAAATTTTGCATCAAAAGGAACAATTGCACACTTACATCACGGAGGTCTTTGATACGTTCTCCTCCACGCCCGATCACAGAGCCCGCTTGACTCTCGTGTACTAAGATTCTGAAGTCAATCATGTTTTCGTCCTCCTCTTCATCCCGCTCAGGATCCTCGCTGCGCCTTCCACGTCGACGAAGTGCCTGAGTACCCATAATGCGCTTCGGGTCGGAAAGCTTTGCATTCATTATGTCCTACAACATCAGACTCAATAACTTCAACTTACCTTCAGTTTCGGGCAGACGTCTCGCATGATACTGCAGATAGCCTGCAGATCACCTTCGATGGTCATTATCCTATTACAAGAAAAACAAGTTAGGACGGGAAAGCAGGAAGGATACGAGGACACAAACCAACTAACAAAACTTGTAACGCCCTTCCATTCAGTGGCAGGACCGTGTAGAATTCAGAGGAACGGACAACCTTATGAGGGTTGTCATCAACTTGCTTTTCACACAATGGAATAGATTGAATGGTCAGGTCACTGGGGATCCCAGTGACTGCTGTAACTTGTAGTTAAACTGATAACCAAACACAACCAGGAATTTAACTTTGTAAATGAAATCCAAAATTGACTTTACAAACATACAATAATGAACCAAAAACATGAAAATAATAATTTAGGCAAACTAATTAATCGACCGAATAGACATCAAGGTGACATTAAGTTTCGATGTAACCCTACCGTTCTGGGCCTCTGCTGTCGGGAATATTCAGCTTGACGTTATACTGTGATAGGGAATGGGAAAAGCAGGGCCGGTTTCAGTGAGCCAGAGTCATCAGTTTGAGAATAAGGCAGGTAAGTGGTATCAACCCGAGCCATGGGAGGTTTTCAGTGGAGATCGACCAGATTCAGCGAGTCAGTTTCCGGGAGTGGAGGAGCCATAAAGAACATAAAACAAAGAATCGAGTCAGTTGGTGCCAAAACGACGATTGATCAAGTCACTAAATGAAATGTACGAGAACAAACCTGTGACCGGATTTTCTTGATATTTTCCCCACCCTTCCCAATCATAATCCCTGCAGCTCGTCCAGGAATGAGAAATCTAATCGAGACATTCGTCAGATCAACGGACGAACGCTGGAATTTGTTTGGAGGACCATCTTGGTTGTTTCCTGAACTGTCGCGTTTCATGGTGGATGGCAAGTCTGAATGGCTACCGGTTAAGTGACAAGTAGACAAACAAACGGGATCATATAAACAAAATCCAGTGTTCAATACCCGATTAGGTTGAGAAGTGTCGAATGACGAGTTAGAACACGATGTGTAGTTCATAAATTTTCAAAATATTTACTGTCTTATATCTAAATAGGAGTTTTGAATTTTTAGACTATTGTTTGTTATATGTTCGTATATCGTGAATTGTGACTTGAAATGACTGTGAAGTCTATGATTAATAATGTACTTAGCTGACATGTTTGTCTCACAGGGAGCCTCCTGACTTTGATATACAATCAAGTTTGGACTGATTTCATACATTCATATTGTTGCATTAACATGGCCTGGGAGGAAGCAATTGCTTTTGTGCTCCAAATTACACTACGCTAGGAGCTGAAAGAAGTACGGTAAGAGGCTCTCCTGCGTTCTCACCTGAAGTCTAAAGTGAAAGTAAATATTTGTAGATGGTGTTTTGGAGAGATTTTCCTAATCATTTCTCTCCCAATAATAACCCAAATTAGTGATTGATATCTTACGCATTCTACCCATTATTGACAATCTGCAGACGAATTTAAGTAGTACAATGACGGTACGTACTGTGGAAAGAAAGTGAGTACTCCGAGACTTGTGTTTGTTAAGCTGGATGAGATATTCAATTTAGCGATGAAGCCACCCATAAGTCATGTCAAAATACAAACGCCTCATCAACACGAGTATCTTAGGGAAGTGTGTGCGGTTCAACTACGATGAATTATGTTAAATTACACACAGCGAAACGTTCAGAAAAATCTTGTTTTGATTTTCTTAACACGCTGGGATTAATTTAAATAATTTAAAATGAATCAATCTGACTCGGCGCTCAAATTATTTCAGGAAGTTCGTAACACCTACGGCATGAAAATCTATAATTGTGAATTAAGTTCAAATTTTTGAATTACAGTACAAGCAATCAGAAGAGATTCTTATTAATGGTAATTTGTAAATCTTTCACCATCGAAGTTGAGCGACAACCTAAAATTCGTCCCAACTCCTGATGATAGTTAAGGCCAATCGATAAACAACATATATTTGAGTGAGTGCTATGCCCCCACGTGCTTGAACACTATTTCAGGAAGTGAAGAAAATCTGGCGTAGCTGCAAAATGGTATATAATGCAATCATGAATAATACATTATTGGAAGTATATTTACAAGATAAATACAAGAAAAAAGCGGTGCGTCAGACTTTCGAGATTGACATGGGCATCATGTGGGGAGGTGAATGTTTATGGGCACTGATGAAACCAATTTAAAGTGTCAGAAATTGTGGTCTGCCCTCATAGTCCTGTGTTCCACTTGGCAACTAGGTTGTTACGGTAGGGATCAAGAGATTTGTGAAAGGAATGTTTTGTTTGAATTTGGTATCGCTATATTGCGAGATTATGCACACGATATCTTCAACGCACCATTCGCACAGATCTTCTGTGTTGCGCTACCTTTTGCCTTCATACTGTGTTTCTTTGCGCCCCTTCACTCTTATCATTTATCTCTGCAAGGCTGTATCGTTTGCTTTCACTGACGTCGAATCTATCCCCATGCTTTCCGATGATTTTGTGCCAATCAACGTCTCTCTATATGTTAGTGATAAATCTTATCGGTAGTGCACACCACAAGGTTACAAATATCGATGTTTTGCCGAAAGGTTTAAAGTAGTTGGTACGTTTGAAATTGTCTGCACATTTGCAAGTGTTGTCGCTGGTATTCATCTACTGCTTTTTGATATTATCTTTAATATTTATGGGTCACAATGCTGAAGAGTGTGTTCGTAGGAACGAAAATGCCTTAGACTGTTGCTAAAATTCGGCTAATATGGCTTCACTAACGTGCAGTGCATTTATATCAATCAACTCACCAAGCAGGTCGGATGCAATACTCACTTTCGTAATACAGGTGGCAGATGTTAGAGGAACCTGAGTTTTATAATTAAGCCTGCCGTGTGAGCTATATTTAAGAGCAAATACATGAACTTGGGGAAATATCTTGTGGATCTCATCAGCTACTTGGATCAGTCACAAATTAACAGACAACCGTTCTGATATCGAGGAAAGGTAGTCTCTCTTGGATGTAACTCAGTTATATGTGCCAATTGGGATCCACTAGCCTCCCTTTTGGAGAAACATCCCAAGACTGTTCCAGACAAACCAACAAAACAGAGCTGGAGCATTGCATTCGGAAGATGTGTTTGAAGAGAAATAAAGTCATCGAAAAGAACCCTATCGAAAATAGATACTACCGAAAGTGCACATCAAAATATGAGAAGGAAAAAACACCCAGACTGTACGAAGGTGCAGAGGTTTCCACAAGAACGCAAACAGAATTGTGGATACACTGAAAAGAACATTTTCCTCTACCAGACTCATTCCACTTTACAACGCAGTATGCTCGTTAACCCAGGCAAAATTAGATAAGCATCTTGTTTAACCCACCTCCAACTGTATTCGCCAATTCATCGGCACTTGCGGCAGCAAATATACAAGAAGGACTGGTAGGAGAGCGTCTACTAGATTTTCCGAGCTAATCCCTAATAGTCCTTCTTTGAAGAGCAGCGAAGTCTTCTCAGGTGCAATCGCCAGACACCTAATTGACTGATACGGGACATATGGTGGAAATTAATCAGGCTTCCAGAATAATCAACGCTCAAGGGAAAGCATGGTTCCTCCGGTTTGCAACAGCCCTAGTTATCAAAAGACTTCAACCCAACATCTGTATACAGACAAATGGAGTGGCTAATCTCTCATTACCCTGGTAACCGTAAATGTTTCGTTCGTTTGCTTTTGTCTTTTGTACTGTTGCATAACATTCTAATTAATTCCTTCACTATTCGCCCAATCCTCCTGAACTCTTCATCATAATATGTTTAAATTTTTTCTGTCGTTCTATCTTGTATTCTGTCTCTAGTACAACCCCATTCCTGAGAGAAGTCAGAACTCTACCCTCCTTGTCTAATTATGTTATAAACAGTTACTCTTTTAACCGTGAATAGTTCATCCAACTTCATTATTTTTGGAATTATGTGGCCTATACTTCCTATTTATAACTCGAAGTCAGACACCAGTTTGTAACTTGTAATTAATTTTGTTTAGGATGTACGAAGTTGTAGAGAATCCACAAAATAAAATGAGTTCGTACCATCCTGAAAATATGTTCATTCTTTCTTTACTTAAACGAACAGACGCAGCCTGCTGTATGAAATCAGACAGTCTAGTCGACTGTTAGGCAACTGATGCAGTGAAGCCATACGCATGATCTCAACAGGCTACTGTCTACAATATACCAGACTAAATGTCTCCTGAAACTATGAAGAACAGGAACGTAAGTTGTGGTATAGTTAACGTACCACATGAACACCAACGGCCTAGTAAAGTTCCAGCCCATTCTGATTGTCCAATAAGTTTTAGGTTCATTAACTCCATTTATGGTTGAAACTTGGCTATATTTCAGGAGTAATTAAGACTAAACGTCAGTTTCAAGTCTGTCGCTGCAGTTCAGAGCAAAACACCCTGTCATTGACGAAAAATGCTTTACAATAATTTTGTCACCTCTTCGTGCTTAAACTCACTCACTTGAATCGCCAGCTATCAGTGAGTGTAACACTGAGTAAACTGCCAAACCTACACGCTTGCTAACGCAGCGGGAAAGCTATTTACATATCCGTATCCTAGTAATCAAGTCTACACGAAAAGGTACTAAGATATAAATCACGTTTGTAAGTAGTCCCAAGATAAACTCGCCTAAAAGTGATGAATAAGGTTCTCAGGACCGTGTCTACGGATGAGAAAGAATACTTTGTATTTAGTAAGTATACCGGAAATGTGGGTGTCAACAAACACAAGCTAAGTGCTGAGAAATCCGTTCAAAACACATACCTGATTTATGCTTCGCAGCACGCTTCTGAATCTTTGAGATTCAAAATCCCCAGAGTTTCACATCCGAAACAAGTACCACAACAAATAAGAGGCTAATATAAAAATCTTACGGCCCTGAACCCCACGAGCCACACTACAATCCCAGACATCAATACCCCTACATCCAGAAGCCCACAGCAAAATTATTTAGGAGCCCTGTATGACTAGTAAGACCTGTGGCACCACTAATTACCTCATCACACTGCGACGCCGATGTGTGGACACTCCACTTGCACTTCTAACCCATAGACACTGTTATGATGCCATCTTCCAAGGATGCCGCACCACGGGTCGTGGAGCTGGTGCTGCTGTCAGAATAATAATGACCACCGCAACTCAGAAATATGTTCAGTAAGCAACTCGAGAATATGAGAAAAAGATTGACAATCTGAGAATTGTTCATTTCCCCGTTGATCAGTAAAGTGTGCTTACTGACATTATTCCATTAACTTTCATTATATAAGTGAAAAATTGTAAATATGCTTACTCCATGTATACATTATTATCATACTGATGATGCCTGTAAACTGGAGTCCCTCATGTACAAAAAATGAGAATATATTATTATTAATAAATCAGGACCACAGGGATAATAAGCACAAAGTCTGTGAACAGGTATCAGCGCAAATCACAACAATATTCCTGATCGTTTTTATCAAGTCTTCTAACAAAGAGCGTACGATCAGGACACGACCGCCATTTTCGCCACCAGAGAAAGTGGAGACCCGTTAGAATTAATAAACTATATGCTGCTCATCCAATGCTCATCAACACTGAGAGACCCATCCGATTCAGGCGCCTCCAAGATTTATTTAAGTTTCTTTGACCTTCGCACACTAAGCTAATTTTTTCGCATTGCTGAATTAAGATATAACCGGCATTAAGATGATTGCTGTTAGAGGCCAGGTCTATTATAATTATGATAGGTAATAATTTATATTCCGTTCACATGAAATGAATGCCATTTTTACAGGCACGATAAAACGTGGCACAAATTAAAAGCATGAAATGTCAATAAACTGGCACTTTTTCAACAGTATAAACAAATGAGTTATAATCCAAGCAACAAGAACAGGTCCGTATAAATGTTAAATTGTAAACCCTTCGCTAGGATCGCCACCGA